AATGCTTGAACAACTGCGTATCATTAAGGAATAAAAGTGAACCTCAGCACATACATCACACCATGAACTAAAGTTAATTGGAGAGGTATCATAGACCTAAAAGTAAAATCAACAATGTAAAGGTTCATGAAGAAAATGTGGAAGAATATCCTCATGAACTTGGATTGGGAAAGATCCCTTGAGAAAATGAAGAAAGCACTAATAATAAAAGAAAAATAAATCATAAAATAAATTTCATAAACATTAAATATTACTCACTAAAAGAAAGCATCAATAAGCTGAGTATGCAAGCTACAGACTGAAAGAAAATATTCATAATACATGTAACTGACAGTAAACTTTAATCTGAAATAGAGAATTTCTGCAATTTGTATAAAAAGGCAAACAACTCACTTCTGCCACCCACAGTCCCACCAAATGGGCAAAGTATTATACTTGAAAAGTCACTCTACCGAGTAAGATAAATAAATGGCCAATAAACTCATGAGTAACATTTTCAACACTATTAGTCATCAGGGAAATAAAACCATAATGAAATACTACTAAACACTCACTAGAATGATTAAAATTTAGAAAACTGATAACACCAAATGTTGGCAAGGATGTGAAGCAACTGAATTTTTATGCATTGCTACAGGGGGTAGACAATGTGTCTGACAATTTTTAATAAGTTAAATATATTCCTATCCCACGATCCAACAATTCCTTCTTTAGGTATTTTTCCCAAAAGAATGAAAACATATTTGTGCAAAAATACATGTATATAAATGTTCGTGCAGCATTATTGATATCCAAAAAATAGAAACACCTAAAATGTCTAAAAGCAGAATAGAGAATAGATAAACTGATACATTTACTCAGCAGAAAAAAAGAACAACTACTGATACTTTTGCCAACATGGATGAATTCTAAAAGAAGCCCAACGAAAAAGAGTATATACTGTATTATTTCATTTATATAAGTTCTAGGACAAGAAAAACTAATCTATATAGAGAAAGGAGTTAGAACATTGTTGCATGGGGGGTGGGGACTATTGTCAAGAAAAGGGTGCGGGGATTTTCAGACTTTACCTTTATCACAATGTGAGTTACATGGATATATGCATTTGTCAGAACTCATCAATCTGCACACTTTAGAACTGTTCATTTTGCTGTGTGTAAATTATACCTGGGCAAACTAAATTTTTAAAAATTAAAAATAAGTGGAGGTAACTATCTGGCAAAAATTATACATGAATCTCATGGAAATGCAATAAAATAATCTCACAGATTGAAATTTGAGGAGTAATTTTTTCTTTTGTTGTTTTGTTTTACTTTTTATTTATTTTATGACTGTATTTTAGTAACGTTCTTTTCCTGTAGCGGATTTAGTTTCTCATATAACAAAAAGTCTAGAATTAGAAAAATCCAGAATTTCTTAATTCAGTAGTTTTATGGTATCATCAAGCACAGAGTTCTTTCTATTGTTATGCTTTACACTGCTCAGCATTTCTTAAGATCATTTCCTATTAGTGGCTTTACAAGCGTTTTGGTTCCAGACATCCATGAAGAGATAACAATGCCTAGCAAGAGAATGAAGGACCTTGTTCCTTGTGTCACATGAACCTTTTTCTATTATAAAATATCACAGACATATCAAATAGCATATATTTTATACCTGTAGGGTTTAAAGAATAATAATGAAATAATGTTGCATGACATCACTACTCAGCTCAAAGTAGTCATAACGAATACCATTGAAAACCCCTGCATGCCCCTATCTAGGGGTGTTCTTCCCCTCCCTAGGAGATAGCCAATCTCTTGAATTTTGCATTTTTTATTCTTTTGCTTTTCTTTATAGTTTTATCATAGTAAAAAGACATTCTTAAATAATATATTGTTTAGTTGTATATATTTTGTAACTTTCGTAAGTAAAGTTACCCATGACTTCTTTTCATTCATTTACCATGTTTATATTTGGCACGTTGATATTTGTTTCTTTATACAACCATTTCATTACCATATGGTATTCCGCTAAATGAATGTACCATAGTTTATTTATTCATTGGTCTTTCTGTGATTATTTTTTTCCAGTATTAATTTTTATTATTTATTTTGCTATTACAAAAGTATTCTAATGAACTGCCTTTTATATATATCTTGGTAGTAAAACACAAGAGTTTCTCTGGAAATGTGTGTAGAAGTAGAATTGGTGGGTGTTAGGCCATGCAGAAGTTTACTGTATAATGCTATTTTCCCCCTAAATTTGGTTGTTCCAACTGTCAAAATTATCAGCAGTGTATAACTATTCCCATCTGATCAACCACTTTGCAAATACTGAATATTATCATACTTTTCAGTTTTTATTAATATGATAGGTACAAAATAGTATCTCAATGTGGCTTTAAATTACACATATATTTATGAGCCTTTTTATATTTCTTTTTTTTATAAAATGTATTCCATATTGTTTGCCCATTCTTCTGTTGGGTTCTTTATCTTTTTCCTCTTATATTTTAGGAGCTATTTATAGATTCTGGATAAATCTTCCTCTGGTTATATGTGTTTCAAATATTTTTTCTAAATTTATGGACTACTTCTTTATCACATTTTTTCATAAACAGAAATGATTCATTTTAAATAGTCTATTTTATCAGTAGTTTCCTTTTTAACTTAGCATATTTACATATTATTTATGATGTATTCCTCAGACATTCAACTACATTTCCTTCTATATTATTTAAAGTTTGGCCTTTCCTGAAAATTTTAATACGTCTGGAATTGTGTTTTGTATGCAATATGAGGTAGGGGTTGTCAAGAACTTTGAAGAGTTTTAGCTGTTACCCTACCTGCAAGCTAACAAGGTAGCTTGCCACAGTTTCGTGAATGCTGGTGGAAGATAAGCCATTCCTGGGTCAGATCAAAGTTCTTTACTACTCACGTTAATAACAGGAGCTAAAGTGTCAGAATTCATGCCAGTTTCTCAGGCTTATTTCCCACAGGACAACTCAAAGAAGGTCAGGTGACTACTGCACATACAGTGAGTGGTGTTATTGAAGAGGAACCCCAAGCTTAGGGAACCCAAATCTCTTATGGTGGGTGGTTAGCATGCCTGACCTTTGCCCCAGAGGGCCACCTTACCTATATTATACTGGAGAGCAATCAAACCTGCCTTATGCTCCAGAGGGAGATATGTTTGCTCTATAACCATGCTTGGGAAGATAGTCTGGAATAAAGGCAACCAGTGCCTCTGCCTGTAAGACATGCAGAAATATGAGAAGCCCATAGAGAATTGTCTCTAACAAGGACAATTCCTCCCTCCTCTTGCCCCAATATTTATGACCAATTGTCTCAGCTTGGTTTAATGCATAGTCTCTCCTTTCCCCAGATATCTTTAATATAGTCAGGTTTAAATGTCTATATTAACATAATTTAGCATAATCAGTTTCCATATATGTATGTGTCTGTTTCTGGGCTCTCTGTTCTATTAATCAGTAGTCTACCTCTGTATCCACCCTGCGTACCTTACTTACTACAACTTTATAATAGATCCTGATCTCTGGTAGAGCAACTCCCTCCCCAACCTCCACAAATACCCACCTTATTCTTCTTCAGAAATGTCTCACATAGTCTAGTCCTTTCATTCTTCCTTGTATTTAAAAAATCTACACAGGTTCCAATGTAAAATATTTTTTCTTGCAATTCAGACCTTCCTTCTGGGATTGTTTTGCTTGCTCCAGAATTTTGTTTGAAACTTTCTATAGTAAACTTTATGCAGGTGTCTCTGTTGTAACTTCCCACCATAGATAACTTCCAAGCTTTGGTTCCTGTACTCTGCATGCTGCCCTTTAAAAGCTAAATTTCTGCTCTTCAGACATCAGCAGATGGTCTGAGGACGAGTGACAGTTTCAGCTCATTTATTTCTCTGCATGGATCCTTTCACATTGTTTTCAGCCTTTCAGAATTTTTCTTGCCTTTTTTTGGGCAGCTCAGCTATGCATTTTAAAAGACATTTTGTCTATTCCACCTAACCTTTCTAGAAGTTTTGCACTGAAAGTGGTTTTCAAGATATCTAATCATTCATATTGCCAGAAACAGAAGTCTTGTGTCAATAGTGGTTTTAAAATTGTTTAATCTCACAGAATTGTATCTTGCACACAATACATATTCAACAAAGTGTGTTTAATTGAACTGAATAAGATTTTGGTTGGGTTTTTCTGATGCTGCCTCATCATTCCCAAATAACCCAGTACATAATTTGGCATTTCCACTGTTAGATTATTATCCTCTCCTTAAAACTTTACAACATTAAAAAATATTTTAAACATACAGAAAGCAATATACTTGAAATCTTTGTACTTACCACCAAGATTAAATACATGTTAACGTAGTGTCCTATTTTCTTTAATTTATGGTTATATGGTTAGATAACAAAGCAATGTATATTATTTTGTGTACTTTAAAATTTTACATTAATAATACAGTGATATTCATACTTTTTTGAAAGCTGCTTTTTTTCCCCACTCAACATCATGTTTGAAATATTTTCCATGCTGATACCCTAAGCTTTGATTCAATTATTCCAAGTCCTGTCTGTAATTTTATTATAAATTAAATTTTATTTAATAGTCCCTTTATTCTACAACAAATATTCTTATTATATATATATCCTCTTGAGCATGTATTTGAGAATTTTTAAAAATTAGTTGCCTAGAACTGAAAGTGTTCTATAATAGGATGTACTTAACTTTAACATATTAGGTATATCCAGTTTCTTATATCTGGTCTTTATGATTGTGATGACATTGATCATTATAGAAGATAGGACATTTTTAAACCTTATTTTATTATTTAATATTTACAATTTGTGAAAAGTACCTAGTACTGGTCTGGACAAGGATTATGCTGAATATATGTAGTGCCTGAAACCTTGTGTATAATTCAAATTATACTAAAGTTTATACTATTCAATAATGAATTTTTAGGTGATTTAGAAATTCATGCCCCCATTTTTTTCTATAGGTATTTATGAGCCTTCATTTATTGTACTACTGCAGTGAACCAACCTTGGATGTGAAAATTGCCTTTTGTCAGGTGTGTGTTCCTTACAGGTAAAACAAGGTACAGTATATTCACTTGTATTTCCATTTTGCCATCCCATCTTGCAAATGTTCCACACTAAAGTTAATGTTTATGTAATGTTAAAAGTAGCTTAGGAAGTAGAAGCTGGTACCTAGATGCTTCTTTTTCCCCCCAGTTCATTTATGTTAGAATAGGAATGAAGATAATTCTTTTTAATGTTTATAAATATAGTACTTGATCACTGCATAAAGTGATTTCTTACTAGATTTAACATCATTAATATGTCTTTTTCAAATCCTTAAAATGTGGTTTTATTCATCAAACTAGCTAAAGTCTATGATATTATTTTTCATCCAAGAACTTATGAGCCCCAAGTAGAGTATCTCTAGTACTGAAATATAATAATATGTAGGTAGTGCTCAGTTTGTTTTCTGATGTTCAGTTCTAACCAGTAGTTGATAACAAAGATAAAACAACAATAATGACTAATAAAGGTATCTTTAACCTACAGTGAACACTAGTGAGAAGGTGTTGTGCATGGACCAGATAAGAGTCTGCACTCCTGTGTTCATACAAGTGATATTCTTAAGAAAGAGCCCAGCTGGGGCACCTGTACCTACTCTAAGTATGTTTAGGTAGTTCTAACTTAAGCCTGTTGTCATGGCATAATTAATAGTGCTCATTTTTACTCTCAGGAATTTTTATTTGGCCAGTAAATTTCATGGTAACTCTATTCATACCCCAAGCAGAGAGCACTTCTGTTTTTTTCTGTAATGATTTTCATTGCATGTTATCATCAAGATGGGCTGTAAACAGAGAATGACATGCATCCCTTGAAACAGGTTTAAAGAAAAACTCTGCAGCTTCTATTATTTTAATACAATATTTTCTGATTCTAGAAGTAACATATACTGATTATAGAAAATATATAAAAATACAAAGGGAAACAAAACATTGGTAAATCTATTCTCCCTGAGCGTAGTTAGAATTTCTATGGAAAAGTAAAATGTGTTACGTGCTATGAATGGGATTTACTGTCTGTTTCATCTCCCTGGCCTGTAAATTCTTGCAGTGCCAAAAGCCTCAGACTTTCAGATAACTTCTCTTCTCTAACTAGAACTCTGGATCTGGACATCTTGGTTTAGAAATTCCAAATCTGCCACTGATTAGCCATTTACTTGTGAGCTTGGGCAAGTTAGTTAACCTTGCTGTGCTTCAGTTTATTTGTAAAAAGGGAAAAAAGTAATAGTACCTACCTTCTAGGTTTATGAGAATTAAGTGAGCTAATAGTTGCATAGCACTGAGTACAGTGCTGGAACATATTTTTGTTAAATAGCTAACTAAATCTTAAATATATTTACATTCACTCTTCTGGTGCTCCCATTGAGTCCTAGTGTTTTAAATATTATCAGTATCTTGAATACTCCCCAGTTATATCTCCAACACAAACCTCTCCCTGAAACCAGACTCATAAACCCAATTGCTTGTTCTATATCTCAGCTCAGATGGCTAATAGGCATAGCAAATGATATATATACCAAACCAAACCCTTGATCTTTCCTCTAAAATTGCTCTGCTCTAATTCAGTAAATGCTAAATCCATCTTTCCAGTTGCTTAGAGCAAAATCTTCAGAATCATCTTTTGGACAATAATTTGCATCCAATCTGTCAGCAAATTCTGTTGGTGCTACTTTAAAAATATATCTGGAATCTCACTACTTCTCACCGTTTTCTCCAGCACCATTCTGATCCAAACCTGGATTATTGTAAGAGCTTCCACTTTTGCTCACCCCCAAATGGTTTACTCTCAAGACATCAGCAAGAGTGATATTTGAAAAATATAAGTGAGATCATGTCACTCCTTGGTTAAAAACAAAAAAAAGCAAAGCAAAAAAACCTTCCAGTCAAGTGAGATGTCTTCCCATCTCACTTATGGTAAAAATTCTTAAAATAAATACACAAGCCTTTGCCATGTAGCCACCCAGACACCCCTCCTTCAAATGTTCTTCCTTTATTATCCACTTGGCTCACGCCTTCACCACCTTCAGGACTTGGCTCAAATGTCATTTTTAAGGGAGTCTTTCCTGCCTATCCTATTTAAAATTGCCCCTTCCTAATCTACACTGCCTACCCCACACCGACTACCCAACTTCCCTGTCTTTCTATTTTTTTCCCTCCATAACACTTTTTGGTATCTGATACACTATATATGTAACTAGCATGTTGCTTCTCTCTCTCTGCTAGAATGCATTTTTCAGTTGGACAGGGATTGTTTTTCAGTGGTGTGCTGTGAGCTCACATAGGCTCACAAGAGTTGATTGTGCACATCCCTTCTCAGCTTTAAGTTCAATGGTGTCAAGTTGGTAGATTGAACTTTGTCATGATAGGAATATGTACATTGTGTAAATAAACAATTACTGCCGATAAGTTCTCTCCTCTCTCTCACCCCCAGCCATTTGTTGAACAATTAGCAGTACATGGTTGGGATTTTGTCTCTTTTGCACACTGCTGTACTGTAGCACTAAGAATAGTATCTGGCATAGTGTGGGCTCGCACCAAATATTTGCTTAATGAATGAATGATATATGTTTGGTTAATGCAATCAATTGAAACTGTGGTAGTGCCCTGGTGAAAAATGAGCAGACCTGAATTTCTGGTTAAAGTATCTGGGCCTACCGTTTGCAAGCTGTATGACTGTGAGCCATTTTCTTAGTGTCCATGATCCTAGCCATTTACCATGGGCATTAGTACTTAAGAAACAAACCACAAACAAACAAAAAAGTTTATTTTTTACATATTTCAAGATTAAGTCTGAATTTCAAAAATTATCAATAAAAAAGCCTTAAAACTTCAGCTATTACTTTTAATCCAAAGAGTTTTTTTGTAGGTTGAAGTTATTTTTAAATCAGCTCCCAAAATTTGGGTACAGATGCAGAATGTCTATTTCTAGGAAAAGTTCTTTTAAAGCAAAGGAATAAAGAGAAGTGAAACATGAACTTTCTTAATGACTCTGATTTTTTTGCTTACTATGAGCTTTTGATATCTAGAAAATATACATGCATATTCTATAACTTAAAAATATCATAGCAAGCAGAATATTTCTAGTTGTGACTCAGAGTGCTTTATTTACTTTCCGGGTAGGATTTTTTTTTTTTTTTCGGTACGCGGGCCTCTCACTGTTGTGGCCTCTCCCGTTGCGGAGCACAGGCTCCGGACGCGCAGGCTCAGCGACCATGGCTCACGGGCCCAGCCAATCCGCGGCATGTGGGATCTTCCCGGACCGGGGCACGAACCCGTGTTGCCTGCATCGGCAGGCGGACTCCCAACCACTGCCCCACCAGGGAAGCCCAGGGTAGAATTTTTATTTGATGATAATGTTTATTTTTTTTCTTTCCTGTAGCTCTGAGCCTCATTTAGTATTCCAGTAATTTAAATAAAATACTGTATTTTTAGAGGCAGAATTATCTACTTGGGTTTACTTTCAAACTATGTGCTTTGGAAGCTTCTCATTTCATGAGATATCTCATGGATCCTTGGTATGCAGTGGTGTTTAACACCATCTCCAGCAGAGTTAGGTTGCTCCCAACTTCTTGCCACACAGACAATACACAAAGACCTTTAAGTAACTTGTCAACAATTAGTGATCAAGTGTATCCAGCATTCAGGTCTCTTGAGTCTTAATCTGTGGCTTTAAAAAATTATATCATATTTATAATTTTTTCACTGTTATCAGTAAGAAATCACAGAAAATATAGAAAATAAAATTGCCCAGGTAGTTATTTATCAACAGTAAATATGTACATTATCTGTAGTAGTATTAACCTTTTTTTCTTAGTTGAATTATTTGAAGAACATGGGATTCATTGAGCTACTCCTATTAATTTCGTTGCTTTTTTCTTTAAAAAAGATTAAGCAGCTTTTGCAGGCAAGAGGTTTCTCGTAATATTCTGGAGAGAAATTTGTCTTAGACGATGAAAAACTAATCTTTAGTTTGCACTTGTATGAATCCTTTACAAAAATATAGACTGACAGGGAATTGAAAGTGCAAAAGCTCTTGATCCTCCTGAGAAATAGGTAAGCCTTCGTAGCCTGCTTTTCTCAATTAAATAAAGAAGGGCAGAACTATTAAATTTCACTCTATGAATTTTTTAAAAAATCTGTGAAAAGTGCTATTTTTGGAACTCTGCTGTACTGAATAGTACAGGGCTTTATACACATGAAATATAAGAAATATATACACAGAGAGATAATGTGTGTTGGGAAACCTAATGCACACCCACTGGTGTCTACAGCATTTACCACATCCTGATTTGTGTTACCATTGGTTGTACAGGTTTGTGTTTTCCCCACTCAGTGGTGACTCCTCTGGGGCAGGGCCAGGGCATCTTCATCCTTGTCTTCCAAGCCTGGAATTCTATCTTAATTCAGTAAATGTTCAATAAATGCTTTTGGGTAAAAGAGAGTAAATAAAAACTCAGAAAAACACTGTGTCCTGAGTGGAAATTTGCTTGCCTTTCAAAATCAAGTCAACTTCTCAACATCTTACCATCTTGTAAGTGTATATTAATATATTTAATTGCATTTTGGTTAATTTGCTAATCATAAATCAGTGTTAGTCTAATATTTCTCTAAAAAGTTATTAACTTATTGTCCTCTCTAAATGTTTACTGATGCATGAGTTGGTTATGAATCATTTAAAATGATTTCTTGATTTTCAGAAAGCCTGAGAGATAGAAGGTTCAAATCAGTGAATCAACAATTATGAGTCTAAGTAACACTAGAAATAAAGGGACTGAGCTCAGTGGGCTTCTTTCTGTTAGGACATAGAAACTCTTCATGCCTTCTTACATTGTCTATGCAATGAGACATCTACACATCGACTGATTATTTATTGATTCCATCATTCATTTATTCAGCACATCTTTACTCAGTGCCTATAACATGTATCTGTAACTTGTAGAAATTAGGGATACAGGGTGAGTATGGTTACTCTCCTCAAAGAACACACTGTC